GCTGCTACCCAAGAGACAGTTTGCATTTTCAGTCCAATTAACTCCTATCTGCTCTTCAGGAAGGAAGAAAGGATGGGAGGGAAGAAGAAAGAAAAAGGAAAGAACTCTTCAGCCCCGACTAGCATGGCTCAGTTGGCTGGGCATTATTTCACGAACAGAAAAGTTGCCAGTTGGATTCCCAGTTGGGGCACATGCCTGGGTTGTGGGTTCAGTCCCAGGCTGGGGTGTGTATGAGAGGTAACTGATAGATGTTTCTCTTTCATATTGATGTTTCTCTTCCTCCCTCCCTTCCCCTGTCTCCAAAAATAAACAAATACATAATCTTTTTAAAGAACTCTTCAGAGGAATATAGAAAAATTTAGTCTCCATTATAGAACATTAACAATATACAGGATCAATCCAAAATTATTTGGCATACATACAAATCTAACCCACTCTAAAGAAGGAAAGAGATAATCATGAAGACGAATTCCAATCAAGCTCAGATGTTAGAATAAAGGAGCTGTTTGACTATGCTCGATTACAAAAAGAAAAATAAGGTCATAATGAATCAAAAGGCAACTACAGAGACAAACAGTAATGAAATAAAAACAACCAAATGTATATTCTAAAACCGAAATATACAATATCTGAAATAAAACATTCACTGGATAGGCTTAATATTTGAATGGAGGTGGAAGAAAGATTCAGTAAACTTGAACATAGATGAATAGAAACTATCCACTCTGAAGAACAAAGAGAAAAAAGATTGGGGGGAAGAAGTGAACAGAGACAGAAAAAAAAATAAATACTTGAAGAAATAATGAGCAAATTGCCCCCAACTTTAATCAAAGACACGCAGCATCAAAGGCAGTGAAATTGCTCAGGCCAGTCTAGTGTTGAGACCTATTTCTGCATGTCTTCATTAATTCTCAGATCCAGTATACAGAGGAGAGTAAGTGTATCCCCTGGGGTATAGCTCTGAATAGAAAGCCAAGTTAAGTATTTGAAAAGAAAATGTGTAAAATTCAATGGGTAGGGAAAGATTCAAGCCCACTACCTATTTTCTTGCTTCTTTCCTGGCTTTTGAAGAGATTACTAACTGCCCTTTATCTTTTAGTTCTTGCCTCCCTCACTCTCCTCAGTTTACCCAAAAGTCTTCTCAATAAATGAATAAATCCTTGCCACCAACTTGCTGCCCCTTTGCGCTTCGGCCAAACCCATGAAGTCTGAACCTGATTCAGTCTTCCCAGACACACGCACATCTCCAATGTACCCTAGCCATGGTCTCACTTCCTTCAGAATAAAGGTCTGGCACCATCTTGAAGTCTCACCTCTTCTTCTGTGAGGCTATCCACTTTGCCCATCTTAAAGCATCTGGTTTAGCTTACATAAATAATGTCACAAAATGGGTCCCAAGTGTTTTACAGAATGACATACCTAAGGGGAAATGAGGCTTGAAGTACAGACCTCTTATTCATAAACTGATCTCAGGTCTATCTGAACCAAAGGCAGACCCTATGTGAAAGAATTACTAAGAGCTGCAAAAAAGCTTCATACTCAGAAGGGCTGAAAATCACAAGCATTCTCTTTATGGCACCTGCTGTAAATCCCCAAGATTTACAGTCAGTAAGAGTTGTGTGCAGCTGTAATCATGCCTCATGCTGGCATGATAACCTTTCCAGAAACCAGGTGTTTCTTGTGTCTGGGCTTAATCACATAATCCAGCCAAGCCTTGGGCCACATGACTTTATCATGCAGCAGGTGGCAGCCCCATGTCCAATCTCAGAAACCAAGCCAGGTCAGCCTTTAGTTAGGGAAGTAGGTGGGACATTCTTGTAATAAGGGTCCTAAAGGCAGGGGAGTGACAACCCATGCAGACACGGGAGTGTTCAGACACAGGGCTGACCCATCCCTTCCCCCAGAAGCCTCTGGTGGAGCACTCAGAGAACAGTTTCTCTACATTTCTTGATAGAACATAATTCTATTGTATGTACACATATGTGAATCAGAATCTCTGCTGCATTTATAAGATTCAGAAAAGATGGTTGATAAAATATTGATTTCTTCTAATTTATCTCAATAAAAACTCACTGGAACTCAGAAAGAAAGGCATCCTGATAGGGACATAGTTTTGTTTCTGATCTATGAACACTATTGCCCAGTATGGAAGGCACAGGGCTGAGAAATTATTGAATTCAGATATAGAGAAGAGGAGAAATGCCCTCTGTTTATTTCTTCTTTAGTTCTCTTTCTGGGGGAGAAAATATAGAATAGGAGAGGAGTATCTCTGCTTTTTTTCCCCCATGGGTAACCTTGATCCTACCCCTTTTTCTTTTTAAGGCCCCTATGATCAGTAACAACTTGTTTCGGAAATTCTTTCAGCTTCTGCATCCCTCCACTTTGGCCACATCTTGACATGAATTACTATTAAGCTGGCTCTGGCAAGGACAGAGGGAACTTCTGGGTGATATGTTTATTGTTATAAGTGACCCGAGGCAAGGATAATTTAGGACAGGTGAGAGCAGAAGTTTTTGTTTTGCAGAACACCTTCGGGAGGCAGAAGGGCCTATAAGGGCTTCATCTGGGGGCTCAGTGTCAGGTGCCAGAACAGGACTCCTGGCCCACGGAGAGCGTTTACCCTCATTCTTCTAAGCCTGTGGGCACCAAACAGAAAGTATTCCTCAACACCCACCCTCAAACACCCTTCTCTCTTATCTCCAGGACATGAAGTAGATCCCTAATATGACCACCTTTGGAGCCGTGCTATACTTTATGTTCACAAGATGCTCTTCATTTCCTGCAAACTGGGGAGAAACAGATGAGAAGACCAGTCAGTATCTAGAGGCTGACTGTGGTGTTTGCAAGCCATTCCTCAGCATAAATCTTACCCTTTGCTACCAATAATTAAATATCTCATGCATGCGCTAAGGACTTTTCATTAGTGTTGACCTAAGTTTCTTAAAAAACAGAGAAAGCAATGCTCTGGAAGGGTCCACATCTCTTCTTATGGTCTTTAGACTCTTAGAAACTAAGAATGCTTTTTTTTTCTTGGTAAAATAAAGCCCAAATTTCAAGATTCATATTGTTTAATAAGTCAGAGGTTTAAAAATGGGTTGCATACATGACAAATTTTTTTCAAAAAGGACCTGGAAACTTTGTGCTTAAACCAAATCATTTAAGAAAACTTCTGGGCCTAAAAGTGACCTGATTCAAGTCAAGCATCAGACAGGGCACTCCACTCCCTCCCATGCAGTCATCCCCACCAAGCTCAGGAATCCTTTGACTTCATTCCTGCCCCTGTATCTCCCCTGATCAGTCTTTTCTGCCCCATAACTAAGACATGGACCTCTTCCTTTGAATCTAAAAGATAGCAGCTTATAGTAAAACTCTATCTCACAACCCACAATCTCAACAGAGAATATTTCCAGACCTATCGTGGGGGTAATTGGGTACAGAATGAATTAGAGCTGTTCTGCTTAGCCTGGGACATCTTGGACCTTCACTACAAAAACACAAAGTTATAAGGCACAGGGAGGACATTTACCAGGTTTTGGACGCCTATAATGTGCAGGCACTGTGCTGGTTCCATTTCACCTCCACCCCACAGCAGTCCTGAGACGATAAGGAAGGGCACAGGCGAAGAATGCATCCATCTTTCAGGTCTCATCCCAGGACTAAACTGTACAATCTGAAAGGCTGTCCAGCTGACTCACCAGTTACAAGTTACCATCTGGAGGTAACTGAGTTTGTCAATGGCAGGTTCTGTTAGATCCTTGCAACACACAGAACAATCCTAAGATTGATCACTTTGTCCCACTCCCTCATTACAAATAACCTCTGAGACCCAAATACACTGAGCCTGGTGGTTCAATCTCTGCAAAGACTGGATCTAAAGAATCAGAGTTTATAAAACAAGAGCAATTTTAAAAGAAATATTCTTTTTTTCATACTCTTGCAGAATATTAAGGGGACCCCAATTTAAAATTGATAGCATAATTTCAAAAAGCCCACTCTTGCTCTATCATTAAGTTCTCTTTCACCACTACCAACATCACCACTACCACCCAAGTTGACCTGGAGTTTAGCTGCCAAAGCCCAAAACTCCCTTTTCAATAGCAGCCTTCTAGTTTCTATCCCTTTATTACTTTGCTTAAACTCCAATCCTCTTCATATAAATCAGTTTAGTCTTTCCCTCCACTTTTTCTCCACCACCCCCACCCCCACCCCCCCCACACACACACAAGAATACTTCTTCTTTAGAAGAGATTGGAAAGAAATTCAACAGGCTAATATTGGGTTTGCCAAAAAGGTTTTTTTTTTCCTGTAAGATGGCTCTAGCAGCACTTGGTTGTCTTTAACTTCATCCAAAACATTTTTGTTAGATTGTATTATGACAGCTGTCATATCAACATGCATTTTTTTAAATTACCAAAATTAGTGAATTTTTGTGTAGCCATTTTAATATTGAAGATGGAAGAAGATGTGCAACAGTTTTAGCATATTATGCTTTATTATTTTAAGAAAGGTAAAAACACAACTGAAACTCAAAAAAAAAAGATTCGTATAGTGAATACAGAAAGTGCTGTGAAGGATTGAATATGTCAAAAGTGGTTTGTGAAGTTTCATGCTGGAGATTTCTCACCGGATGATGTTCCATAGTCAGATATACCAACTGAAGTTGATAGTGATCAAATTGAGACATTAATTGAGAACAATCAACATTATACTATGTGGGAGATAGCTGACATACTCAATATATCCAAATCAATAAAGTTACTGGTAAAAATGAAAAATGCGCTTTTTATTTCACAGAAAAAGCCATATAGACTTTCTGGCCAACCCAATACATGCAGGATTTTCTTTCAGAGACACAGGAAATAAACATTAAGTCACTAATAGCATATGTTGATAGTGCACATTAATGCATTGTCAAACATTATTACATTAATATTGTACATTAGTATCATACATTACTCCATCCGTGTTCTATGTTCATATATTCACACCTCTGCCCTCACCTCGATGTGGTCAGGCCTTCCATTGGTATGGACCCTTTCTGGTACGCCAGCTTGGGCTTGAAGGACTCTCTGGGCAGGTACGAGTGATACAGAGGGTAGTTCTCGGTGTATTCGGAGAGAAGACATGGTTTCTCGGTTCTATCAAAAATCTTAGTAGGAAGATGTGGACAATGATGCCGCCTATAAAAACGTGAAATTAGGTCAGTTACCTTCTTGAGAAGATATATTCAGTTTGTGTCCCAGACTATAAAGGCATGACAGCAGTCATTGAAAACAGAAATTTAACTCTTCCTTTTCTCTACTGAACTACGTAAGATTGCCAGAATTTTTTTAATGATCTGTAACTGCAGTTGGTTGTCAAAATTCCTGGGATCATAAAATTACACAAGCATGGCTGGTGTTCAGCTGTTACATATGTATACTGCTCATTTAAATACTTCCCTACCATAATAGTTAACTGGCTGCGGCCCCTGAACCCTCTGAGTACCAAACCAGCTGCCCCAGGCCCTCCCCCTGAGACCTCCCAATCACCCAGCACCTGACTGAACCAGGTGCTCCATGGCTGTGCTCTAGGCTGAGACTACCATTTTTCCTCACTGGTTTCTGGGTCAATTCAGAATATCATCCTGCACACAAGTGGTATAATAAATGCCAATGACTATGGGAAACCATTTTCACATTGAAAGTGCGGCTCCTTTATTCTTTCAGGTCAACTTAATTGCTGCCTCCTCAGAAAGACTTCTGCTGATCATTTTATACCTAAAATATACCCCACTACCCCACCCCCTCAGAGTTTCTCTCGCCACCTATATGCCTTTCTCAGCACTTATTGTTATTGGTAATTGAGTGTTTGATGGTGAATTTGTTTATTGTCTGCCTCATCTATCAAGCTCAGGACCTTCTCTGTCTTGTTCACTGCTTTTATCCCTAGTACTTTATATCCTGCCTTGTACACAGTAGGCATTCAGTAAACATTTATTGAATAAATGACTGAGAATATAAATGAATGTTAAGCTCTATGCCTCATTATGCAGGTGATAATAAATAAATACGTAAATTGCAGTTATAATTTACAATGAGCTTTTCATTTTACATGCAAGTAATTAATGAACCTTATCACCCTACTAATCGATGGACAAAGGGCAACTATTGGAGCTCTCAAAACCTAAGGAGAGCACCAATTATTTGTGTCCACATACAATCCTCACAAACCAACTGGGTGGGTCACTTCTAGTCATCAGACACCAGCAAATCATCAAAACTCCATTAGTGATTTCCAATCTGATTATATCAAGGAATGGCATGAAATTTTTGTAAAACTTTTACACTAAACTGATTTTAACTACAGAAACTAAAATACACAGCATTTTGAGGCAGTGTATAGAGAAGGAGAGAAATAAATATACAGAGAATGCATCACTCTCTAAAAATATTTAGTATGCTACTCCTGTTAATAAGTTCAACCCTCTACATAAATGTTGCTGCCTCAGTGTTGTTTCTAGGTACCTCTCTTCAACTCTCCAACCCTGTATTGATCTACAGGGTGATCTATACCTGTATTGTTCATATGAATGTAACTGTATATAAACAAGTACCTTTATAGATATCTCTATTTTCTTCTCATTTGTAGATTTCTGTTTTGAAAATCTGTAAGATGTTATAAACTTGTAACATTTACTTTTTATTTGTTATTATATAATTGTGTTATTGATTCATGATGAATATTTTAGGTTTTCCAAATTACAAGGAAATCCTCCATAAATATTCTGTCCTTATACTACAAATATCAGAATTTCGCAGTATTAAATATGCTCAGTAAAAGTTTAGTTTTTCTTTTTCAAAATGCACATTGTTGACTTTTGGCCAAGATGGAGGTATAGGTACATACACTCTGCCTCCTCACACAATGGAAAGAAGGACAACAACAAATTTAAAAACAAAAATCACTAGAACTGCCAAAAAATCAAACTGTATGGAAGTTCAACAACCAAGGAGTTAAAGAAGAAACATTCATCCAGTCTAATAGGAGGGCAGAGATGTGCAGCCAGGAAAGAGAGGACTCGAGGCAAGGACCGTGGCTGGAAGAATGGGCGAGTGAAGGCAGCAGGCAGACTGGGAAGTCCCACATTTGCATACAGATAAAGCAGGAGAAACGACTGGAGAGTGAGACAGACTATGCAACCCAGGGTTCTAGCACGGGGAAATAAAGCTTCAATGCCTCTGATTGAAAAAACCTGTGGGGGTTGCAGCAGCAGAATAAACTCACAACCTCACATGACAGTTCATTGGAGAGACTCACAGGGTCCTAGAACATAAACAAAACCACCCACCTGGGGAATCAGCACCAGAAGGGCCCAATGTGCTTGTGGGTAATGGAGGAAATTACTGAGACCCAGCCAAGAGCTGAGCAAGCAGGATTGTTCCCTCTCTGACCACTCCCACACAGACAGAGCTACAACGCAGTGACTGTAGGTTGCCCCACTCAGGCAAATACCTAAGGCTAAGCCCCTTATTACATAACAGGTACACAAAGACAAAAAAACAATGTCCCAAATGAAACAGATCAAAGCTCCAGAAAAAAATACAACTAAGCAATGAAGAGATAGCCCACCTATCAGATGCGGAGTTCAAAGCACTAGTAATCAGGATGCTCACAGAAATGGTTGAGTATGGTCACAAAATAGAGGAAAAAATGAAAGCTATGAAAAGTGAAATAAAGGAAACCATACAGGGAACCAACAGTGAAGGGAAGGAAACTGGGACTCAAATCAACAGTTTGGAGCAGAAGGAACAAATAAACATTCAACTAGAACAGAACGAAGAAACAAAATTCAAAAAAATGAGGAGAGGCTCAGGAACCTCCAGGACAAACTTTAAACGTTCTAACATCTGAATCATAGGGGTTCCAGAAGGAGAAGAGAAAGAGCAAGAAATTGAACACTTATTTGAAAACATAATGATGAAAAACTTCCCTAATCTATCAAAGGGAACAGACTTTCAGAATGCCCAGGCAGCTCAGAGAGTCCCAAAGAAGTTGGAACCAAGGAAACACACACCAAGGCACATCATAATTAAATTACCCAAGATGAAAGATAAAGAGAGAATCTTAAAAGCAGCAAGAGAAAAGGAGATGGTTACTACAAAGGAGTTCCCATAAGATTATCAGCTGATTTCTGAAAAGAAACCTACAGGAAAGAAGGGGCCGGAAAGAAGTATTCCAAGTCATGAAAGGCAAGGACTTACATCCAAGATTGTTCTACCCAGCAAAGCTTTCACTTAGAATAGAAGGGCAGATAAAATGCTTCCCAGATAAGTTCAAGTTAAAGGAGTTCATCACCACCAAGCCATTATTATATGAAATGTTAAAGAGACTTATCTAAGAAAAAGATAAAAAACATGAACAGTAAAATGACAATGAACTCATAACTATCCACAAATGAAACTAAAAGAAAACAAAAATAAAAACAAACTAAGCAAACAACTAGAATAGGAACAGAAACACAGAAATGGAGGTCACATGGATGGTTATCAGTGGGGAGGAGGAGAATGGAAGAAAAGGTACAGGGAATATGAAGCATAAATAGTAGGTACAAAATACACAGGGGAAAGTTAAGAATAGTATTGAAAATGGAGAAGCGAAAGAACTTATATGTATATCCCACAGACATGAATTAAGGTAGGGGAATGCTGGAGGAAGAGGGGTGCAGATAGGAAGGGAATAAAGAGGGGAAAAATGGGGCAACTCTAACAGCATAATCAATAAAATACATTTTTAAAAATGCACATTGTTGGCATTTAATACACAGATGAACATGTATTTATATCATACATATTTAATAAAGTTATCTCCTAATCATAGGAACATAAGTTGAGTGTTGTATTCTTCTGTTCTCAAGATATATTGTTATATTTCATAGTAAACAAAATAACCATCTCCTATAGTATAAAAACATTAGCTATTCTAACCCTTTCTGTTCTAGCAATCCATCCAATTACCCAAGATTTCAATTTGGGCCAATTAGTACACTATTATTTTAGGATTCCTACAAACCTCAAACAAAAGCCAAGAAGTGTGTTGACTTCCAAAAATATCTCTGCAGATATATTTACCCACACTCTGACAGAAAAGTCAAGGTTTTATTAAGAATAACAGATTCAGGCACTTGCAATAAAACAAACTCCACAGACATAGCAATATTTTTCCTCTCCAGTGCCCTTGTTTTTTAAGCCAGTAAAACTTTGCTTTATATAACTCCCCTTTCTATATTCTTACTTTTTAAAACTGTAACATACTGTAAAGCCTTATTCCAAAAGAAAAATAAATTTCATGGCAAAATACTGCATTGTGATTGGTATCATGAGAGAGGATTTTAGTATAGAAAACACTTGCATCCAGACATTGATGTTCCATTAAAAAGAATTATATTTAATATATATTTATAGGGCCGATTTTATTTATTTGACTTGTTGCTAGTTAACTAAAACCTTATCTTACATTGAAATATCAAAACTGTTATTTCAAAGTAGATATTTCATTGCCTGAGTTTGCTCCAGAGGCCACCTACTTTCCTTACCTGTCCCCACACACACTGAATATCCCTCTCAAGTCACCAAACACCATAGATTCTCTTTGCTGGTCTTTATCCAGGAGTTTCTCAACGATAAAGACAAAGTCTGTTCTGGAAACCAGCCCAATACCCGAAATATTTATTTAACAGATGGATAAACAATTAGGTAGTGTATAGGAAGATGAACCACTGAAAGAAAGATATTTACAAAGAAAATGAATTGTTCTAACATTAGTAGAGCAAAAGGAGAAAAGACAGATTCTCAGTTTTTATGGATCTAGATAGCATCTAAAGAAAGTTTATGGAATCACCATACCTGGGGTGTTTAAAAGTAGTCTCGCTCTGGCTAGTGCAGCTCAGTACATTGAGTGCCAGCCTGTGAACCAAAGGGTTGCTGGTTTGATTCCCAGTCAGGGCACATGCCTGGGTTTGCAGGCTAGGTCCCCAGTAGGGGACATGCAAGAGGCAACCACACATTGATGTTTCTCTCTCTCTCCTTCCCTTCCCCTCTCTCTAAAAATAAATAAATAAAATCTTTTAAAAAACAAAAATAAAAGTAGTCTTGACAGTCATGAACCAAAGAAATGAGGCCACTTCAGACTCTCTAATAGGTGTGTCATTTTAGGAGCTGCCTTGGCCACCCTGCTCAGGAGCACAGTCAAACACCCCTAGATAGAGCCAGTGGGCAGCAGGGGAAGGGGAGGAAGAAGGTGTATTAATCTATTAGAACTCTCTTAAGTCTTTCCACCCCAAGCTTTACTAAAGAACCACAAGAAAAGGGCGATAATCTTGATGTTTTCTGATATATGGTAAAGGGAGTAGGTAAAGGGAGCTCTCAATGGAACCTAGAAAAAGAAAAATAGTTGACTCCAAGCTAGAATCATAGAATTTTAAAATTAAGGGACCAGGAGAATATCTAATCCCATGTCCCCACTATGCAGATGAAAAATCTGAAGCTCAGAGAACAAGGTGAATGGCCTAGCCATGGTCAGAATCCAACTCTCTATCACATCTGAATGACCAGGTATGTTTCCTGACAATCACCTAGCCTAAAGCCATCTATGACTCAGGTAACACTAGAATGCATGGCAGAAATTTAAGGATATAACAAGTACCTATAGACTAGTACCATCCAACAGAAAGAGAATACAAGTCATGAATAAGAACTACCTATGTCATGTTAAATTTCCTAGCAACCACATTAAAAAGGTAAAAAGTGTGTGAAATTAATTTTAATATTTTGATTTTAACTCAATATTTTCAAAATATGATCATGTCAACATGAAACCAAACATAAAAATATAGAGGATTTTACTTCCTTACTATGTCTTCAAATTCTACTATGTGTTTATGTTAACAGCACATCTCAATCAGAACGACCACATTCCAAGTGTTCAGCAGCCACAGGTCATTGTAGCTTTCCTACTGGAAAGTACAGAATTAGAATTTGAAGGTACAGACAAAAGAACTGCAATCACTTAAGTGCTGAAAATTTTCTCTGCAAGTGGTAGAAAGACAAACATGCTTAGAGACACTTTTATTGATAATATGGTATTTATCTATTTCTTGAACTCTGACCTGCCTTCATGTGACAAAATCAGAGGCATTAAAAAGCATGAAAAATTACTGAAGTTCTACATACTCTCCTCACTCCACAGAGCTGAGCTTCAGCTTTATGCACCTGTATTGCCACCTGGAGCTTCTCTCTTTCCTGCCACTTTCACTTTTCCAAAGTGCATCCCTTCTTCAAGGTCCATTTTGAACGCCATCGCTGTTGCTGCCATTCCTCCATCCCCAAAGAAGCTAACCAATGTTCCACCACTGACTGCATGTGTAATGTTGAGAAAATTAGATACTCAACTCTTCTGAACTTTGATTTTCTCCTCTGGAATATCTTGGTAACAACTTCTATGACTTTAGTATTCTTATGTAGATTAAATCAGATACAGATTAAAATGCCTCGCCCAGTCCCAGGCAAGCACTCTGTAATTAAAAGACTATGTTTATTGATAAAAAAAAAAAAAACTATACACCACACAGGCTTAGATTTTTATATATTGTCCACTCTAATATTCACAGCAATGCTATGAAGGAAGCACCATTATTATTCCATTTACAAACACGAAAAATGAGGTTTTGGAGAGGTGATCTTGCCCCAGGTCATGTAAACAGAGGATGGTGAAAATAGGACTAGAGCCTAAGGTCTTCTGCCTGATTCCAAAGCCTGTTTATCACGGCTATATACAGTGTGGTTTGGTAGGACACTGGCCTGCACTACACACCTCTGTTTCATGCCTGCTTTGATAAACCTAAGGGCAGTCAGTTAATTGGCAGTTTTTAGGCTGGCCTCTTCCTCATTCCCTTAGCTACACTCAGAGTCTTCCAAGGCAAGACACTGTCTGCTTTCTTTCAGACCCTGCAATTATTCTAATATAGACCAACAAATACATACAACTCCAAAGGCTCTTTAAAACTCTGATCTTTCTACAGAACTCTGTTCACTGTCTAAACAAGAGCGTGTCATTAGATAAGTTATTAATAGCAACAACCAGGAAAACAAAGAACAAGGAATGCTGAATCTGGAAGGACCCTGGGGATCAGCCTGCCCTGCAGCTTCATCACACAGATGTGGACACTGAGATCAAGAGATGAGAGTTACTGCCCAAAGCCACACAGCTGGCCAGCAGCACTCACCCCAGGTCCCACATCACTTCCCACACAATTGACTGCCATTAACAATCTAATTTAAAACTCAGAAAGTTCACTCTTCAAGGATTTGCAGCCTGCTTTTCCTTTTTCCTAGTAATTGGAAGCCTGTGACCTGTCACAGCTGCTGTGTGAGGGAGGAAATGAGCAGAAAATGCACTCTTGGTAGAGAAAAGGGAAAGGCGCCAAGGATCACCAGGTCTCAAGTCCTAAAGGTCATCATTCCAAACCAATAGTTTAAAACCCTTCCAGGATGTCTGGAGGAACACTAAGATCCCAAAGGCAGGGTCTACCCAGTGGAAAACCCATGTCTCTGGAATGGCCTTCTTCCTGAACAGCTCACAAAGCCAACCCATTAGATTCTGGGGTGGGTAAAGCCAATGCTTTTTCTGAAGTACATGTGTACCAGCAGAGGCTTATAAAATGTTTAAATATTTACTAGAATTTGGCCCTGGTTGGTGTGGCTCAGTGGATTGAGCACTGGTCTGTGAACCAAAAGGTCACTGGTTCAATCCCCAGTAAGCGCATATGCCTGGTTTGTGGGCTGGGTCCCCAGTTGAGGGCATGTGAGAAGCAACCAATCAATGTATCTCTCACACATCAATGTTTCTCTCCCCCTCTTTCTCCCACCCTTCACCTCTATAAAAATAAATAAATAAAATCTTTTAAAAATGTATTTACTAGAATTTGTCCTTGAATGTATATAATGTACCCAGAGGTAAAGGGATAAGTGAAAATGCTTTTATGAACTACAAATTAAGACCTTTTTTGAACATACACAGATATATCTAATGCCAATCTTAAGACAAGGTAACTTGTACCTCCTATCTATCTCTTCTACATAGAGCTTTAAAAAATCAGACACTAAGAAATCTGAAAAACTCCAGCTTATAGTCTGCCCATGGTGCTAGGGAACTGGGCAGGGATTATAAACTAGAACCTTTGGTGGTGACTAATCCTTCAGGGTACCAGATCTACCAGATCTACCAGATCTACCAGATCCTGGGTAACAGAAAGCAGGGTCTGTAAATGTGTGAGGAGAACAAGCAACCTTTAAGACTATCTGGTACTAATATGACAAATAGATGCAACTGATATACCAACAAGCAGTGGCTGCCCTGGGATGGCGGGGGGAAGTGATCACAGTGAAAAAAGTCATAGGTCCAAGCAAGTTTAGTGAGAAAGATCATCTTGATTGATTAGCCATGTCTATCAAGGGTGTCAGGTTAGAGAAATTAGGATGGGTGATAAATGCATGAATGAATCAGCCAACAAAAAAAAAGCAAAGGAAGGAAGGAATTCTGGTGGAAATATCTACACACTATTGAAAATGTGAACTTGTAGGAATCACACATTTGAAAACCATTTATAATAACACAAAACCATAAAAATACAAAAAGTTGCTGAGAAGAAAAATAAGATCATGGTTAGGGAACCTGGCACCCTTGACATACATGGCTAATCAATCAAAATGAGGCAATAAGAAAAGAGTACAGACTGCCTTCTAGCAGTAGTAAGTGGAAGGGAGGCCCCAAAAGCCCTATGTGGCCCAATTTGAGGACCATCTAGCAGCGTTCAACTCTGAGGAAAGACGTTCTGGTTCAGCAGAATGAGAAGCTAAGAGACTTGCAGAATGGCAGGTACTATGGAGAACAGTTCTGTTGGCACCTGCAGCTCTCAGGCTGAGTGGGCAGGAGAAAAGTGAGGAGAGGCAGTGGTCCTTGGAGAAACTGAGGGCCTGAAGAGAGCAGGAAGGAATATGTTCAAGGCTTTCAGAGAGCTCCTCATAGGCACCTCCTTGGCAGGTGAAAGGAAGAAATCTTTCTTCCATGAATAAAGTATTTAAATTAATTGGAGAAACCTCTTCAAGTACCGCTGGTCAAGGAGATATAGGGTAGGCATTTTGGCGATGGACCACTGCATCTTGAAGAGACACCCAGAAAGAAACATATCAGTCACCAGGGCACCTTTTCTTTCCAACATTTAGAGAATTTATCCTGAGGAGAAAGGCAGGCACCACTCTGGGCTGTTCTAACTGTGCATGTCTCCTCCCTTTTTCCCCCAGGCCCTGGCAACACTCTCCCCAGAACCCTATTCCTACCCAACCTCTGTCACTTCCTTCAAGGAGGCCTTCCTGGACTGCCAGATAAGGTCATGTTCACTCTGCTCTTCTCCTATTCACACACCACATGCTTGTAGTGCCCTGTACAGTCCGACTTCCTGAAGATGGGTCTTGAATACCATTGTTTCCTGCATGGCACATGATGGACACTCAATCTATGATTGCTGAAAGCATGCGAGAACAGGGCCAAGAAGCACACAAGGGCAAGTTCTGTTTATTGTGGCCTGGTCCAGCAGCACACTTACAAGCTGTTTAAAAAGAAAATCCAGCAGCTAGACACATGTTTGTTTACCCATGCTGTGTGGTACTCCCTATGTAAACATAGGAATTGGATTTAAAAAACAAATCCTTGAATATGATATCAAATCACATACATACATAATTTGAGCTAGATCACAAATCTAAATGTGAAGGCTAGAATTATAATGTATTAAAAAATAACTTTTTAACTCAGGAAAGGCAAAGATTTCTTAGGTCACAGAAAGTAATAACCATAAAAGAAGGAACTGGTAAATTAAACATCACCAAATCCAAAAGCTCCAGCTCAAAGATACCATGAAGAAAGATTTCCAGCCAAGATGGAGGTGTAGGTAGATACACTTTGCCTCCTCACACAACCAAAAGAAGGATAACATCAAATTTAAAAACAAAAATAACCAGAATTGCCAGAAAAATCAAACTGTATGGAAGTCTGACAACCAAACAGTTAAAGAAGAAACATTTATCCATACTGGTAGGAGGAGCAGAGACAGGCAGCTGGGGTGGAAAGGACTTTCCCAAGTCAGGGACTAGCAGAGCAGGCGGTCCCACATTTGCATGCAGATAACCAGGAGGAACAACTGAGGAGTGAGACAGACCATGCAACCTAGGGCTCCAGCGTGGGGAAACAAAACCTCTAACCTCTGACTGAAAAAAAACCTGTGGGGGTCGAGGCAGCAGGAGAAACTCCCAACCTCACAGGAGTGTTCGTTGGAGAGAGCCACAGAGTCCTAGAATGTGCACAAACCGACTCACCCAAGAATCAACACCAGAAGAGCCCAATTTGCTTGTGGGTAGTTGAGGAAGTTACTAAAAGCCGGCCAAGAGCTAAACAAGCAGCATTGCTCCCTCTGGTACCCCTCCCCCATATACAGCGTCACAAAGCAACAATGTGGGATTCCCAGCCCTGGCAAATACCTAAGGCCCTGCCCCTTACTACATAATGGGTACACAAAGACAAAAAAAAAAAAAAAGACAATGGCCCAAATGAAAGAACAGATCAAAGCTCAACAAAAAACACAACTAAGCGATGAAGAGATAACCGACCTATCAGATGCAGAGTTCAAAACACTAGTAATCAGGATGCTCACACAGCCCACCGGGTGAGCGAATACAGAGGACACAGTGGGGAGGCGGTGGCAGCGAGTTGACTGTGGTTGCCTGGTTGCGTGCGAGTGAGGGAGTGAGCGGTTGGACCGGCCCGGCGGCGGGGGCAGCGCGCCATTTCCCCGCTCTGACCACGCCCCCACATACAGCGTCACAACCCAGCGACCTGGGACTCCAAGGCGCCGCTTTTCCCACTTAAAGGGCCAGAACAGACCAAAAATGTCTCAAGAAGACCTCAAAGCCCCAGAGATAAATATAAGCGACGAAGAAATAGCAAAACTCTCAGACGCACAGTTTAAAACACTGGTCATCACCTTCCTCACAGATCTGGTGGATTATAGCCACAAATTAGAGAAACATATGAAGGCTAAATTAAGGGGAAATGAATGGAATTCCACAGGAAACCCATAGAGATGAAAAGGAAACTGGGACTCAAATCAATGCAGTGGACCAGAAGAAAGCAAATAATGGCCAAACAGAAAAGAGTCAAGGAGCAAGAATTCAAAGAAATGAGGAGAGTCTTAGGAACCTCCAGGACATCTTTAAACGCTCCAATATCCGAATTATAGGGGTACC